TGACGTTCTGACTTAACCTCCCTGGTCTCAGCAGTATGATGCAGCGGTGGCAAGAGACGAGATACATCACCGAATGGCTCGTCATGCTCCTGCAGAAGAGAATGTAGGTTTGCTGCTTGGGCAGCAGAAAGTGTTTAAGTTTATCAGGATTAACCGAAATTACTTAATTCGTGAGATTAGGCTCCACAAAGATATTTTCATCATTTTCATTACTGTTAGAAAGTACAATCACTGAAACATCACTTACGTTTCCCGTATTTTCCTTTAAATCATCCCGTTCATAGTACTTTTTCAGGAGGTTCACATGCACATGACGTTTTTTCTTACGTCTCTTGGTGATTTCAATTGCACAATTAACATCACTAGATCGTTCTAGAACATTAAATAGTCTCCCATACCGAGACTGAAGAGGCTGGTTATGAAGAGTTAACAAAGCCAATACTAAATTATTATATAATCTTACCTCAGCATCATTTACTTTATCAAAATGTTCTTTCATTTTAGTCTGAACTTTACCCAAAAGATTACGAGCAAGTGAAGTGGTAGTCTAATATATGCTCAAATTCATTCCCATATATATCTACGGGATTCCCTCTTCATTTAACCAATATTCTTCCAATACTTTTAGTGGTCCACGCACTTCACGGCCGTAGATTAATTTAAATGGGGAATAAAGGCTCTCTTGAACATTGTTCTTTACTGAAAATAACAGCAAATATATTCCTTCATCCCACTCAGAACCGGTCTTTATACAGGTCTTCAATCATAGTCTTTAAAATATGAAAACTTTCAACTACCCTTTGACTTTGAGGATTGCCTACGGTGGACCTGAATGGCTGTATCCCCAAGGACCTCATAACGTTTTCATATAATATGGAGGTAAAATTTAATCCTTGATCTGACTGTACTATGGTAGGCAAACCCACTTGTGTAAAAAACTTCATCAAGGCCTTCACAACATTCTTACTCATTTCGTCTGCAGATATATCAGAGGGCTTATATTTACGAACAACACCTGACTGGAGAGAAAAGCAAGTACGGAAAGTTTCTAGACCATTTATGTCGATAAGCTTATCAAATGCTTGCCAATCAGGACCTTTACGTTCATCTTTAATGATCTTCCCTTTAGCAACTGGAGTGTCTTTAATATTCTTTATATCAGAATCAGATTCTGAATTACCTAAAACTTTAGCAGATGAATTAAAGAAATCTGCTAGTGTGAAGTCTTCAGTTGATATCACAAGGGCTCTCATCAGGTAATGCAGTGCCGGGGGCATGCGCCTTGCCAGGAGGAGGGGAGGACCCACGACTTGCACTGCAGCTGATTAGGGAAGTAATTTATTTCGTTGTGTTCGTCTTATCGTTTCTTTGTTGAAGCTTTCGCTAGCCCACTTACTTCTCTTAAATCATCTTTTTTTAGATTAACTATTTTTTCCTGAATAGTTTGATATTTCAAGCGTACCTTATTTTTGTAATTTGGCTGACTCCATACCACACGGAAGTATATGGTCTTTCGCTTTGTATTAAACTTCCATTGATGCGAACTTTACTTCCTTATTTTTCTCCGCTCCCCCGCCCCCAGCCTTCCCCTCCAACACCCCGCCCCCAGAGAGAGAGAGGAAGAGAGAGAGAGAGAGAGAGAGAGAGAGAGAGAAGAGAGACAAAGAGAGACAGAGACAGAAAGACAGGGAGAAGGAGAGGGGGGAGAGGTAGACGGAATAACAAAGAGGTGAGTGAGGAGGAAGGAGAGAGAGAATAAGATGGTGTAACATTCAACAATCCCATAGAAAAGCATCTCCTCTGCTCCTTCCGCCGTGACCTCGCGTGGCTGCCTCCGCGTCCCTCTCCCCGAGCATTCCTTCTTCCTCCGATGAATCTGCCTTTTCGCTTTTTCCTTTTCTTCTCCGTTTATGCAGTGTTTCTTTCTATTTGATAAAGGGTCATTTCGATTTTTGCGTTTTAATTCTTTTTCTTATTGTGTCGCTTTTCATTTTATGTCTGTCTGTTTGTCTGTTTATCGGATAAGAAAGTAAAGCCAGAGTTGAAGTTCTCCTACTTGGTGTTTGCCTGCATCGGGAAATACGGCAATCGGGAGGGGGGGGGGGTTAGGAGGGATTTCTGGTCCATATGGCGATCCTACTGGTCGTTCGTGCGTTTAAGAAGCGGTTCACTCGCTCGTTCGTTCGCGCAACACCGTGTCGAATCATCCGCGGCCGAATCTTCTCTCGGGTTCCTATATTTTTCATTTTCTTTATCATCTGAAACGCTATCCTTGGCTCGGATTTTCAATTTCCACTCTTTTACTTTTCAAAATGCAAGGTATGAACGAAATCACCCAAACAAATCTATTGTGTAAGAAATCGAGAAAAAATATACGAATTCGTTGTCTTATTACGCCACCCAGACTGGGCGGCGCCAGGGTTGTTTCCCACGCTCCTCCTCCCCCTCTCCCTTCCCCCCCCCCCCCCTCTTCCCACCCTCTCCCCTCCTCTTCCCTCCTTCACCCCTCCCCCTCTCCTTCTCCTCCCTCCCTCCCCTCTCCTTCTCCCCCTCCCTCCCCCTCCTTCTCCTTCTCCTCCCCCTCCCCTCCCCTCCTTCCCTCTCCCCCTCCCCCTCCTCTGCCCAGCAGCGCAGAAGGCCGCGACCGCCGGCCACCAGCCCCGCTCCCCGCGACGGAAGGGACGTCGTCGGCGAGCACAGCGCCCTCCGGGTTCCTGCTCCTCGGCCATCTGCACGAGAGCCACGACCCTCACGGACGCCTGAGGAAGGCTGGATCGAGTGGAGTTTCACGCGGCCGCATCGGAGCCGCATACAGGGGACCGGAGAAAGGTTTGTTCTGATTTAAACACAATTTTTCGTTTATTTCAAGAAGGAATAGCGCTTGCGAGGGCCGAGGCAGAGGGGCTGAGGCCTGCCCCCAGACATTCTCAAAGATCTGCTAATATTGAATTAATTTAGATAAAAGTTGTAGAAGGAAAATACGTATTTTTTATAAACTATCGACTCGGGCAAGTGTTGACAATAATTTCTGAGTGCACCAAGACGCTTCCGGTGCTTTCATGCGCCTTTGTTCCATCTGCAGAATGCAACCAGCAGAGGAACGGGAGCCGAAGGGACGACCGGACGAGGGTTTGACCTTGCCCTGTGACCCGCCCGGAGGTCAACACTGCGTGGCCTAACGCGACCTGAGACTGACGTGATTGCCCTTCCCTCTGCTTCTGAAGTTAGTAAGTGTTATTTTGTGCATATGGGCGGGAGGGGTGGATGCAGTTTATTATAGCCTGAAGGGGGGGGGGATACACATAAACGGGCAGACAAACAGACAGACACAGAGAGGGAAACACACACATGCGTATATATATCGTGTATTTATATAGCATATATGCATGTATGTAGGCTTATATCTCTGACAGTCTCTCACCCTCTCTGTCACACACGTATGCATGTGTGCGTGTGTGTGTGTTATATATATATATATATATATATATATAATTATAATATATATATATATAATATATACATACATACATACATACATACATACATACACCTGTACCAGGTTGACCCACCAACAGTAAACCTGGATGCGGGGAGTGCCGTGATTCCGTTGCCGGACCCACCCATCAGTGATGATCCAGCCTCCCTAACTGAAGTTAGGAGGGCGATATCCAAGCTGAAGAGTGGCAAAGTAGCGGGTATTTGCGGCATCCCAGCTGAACTGTTAAAGGCTGGTGGTGAACCTATG